TGGAAACTTATGCCATCGTGATGCACACTCTGTCTGTATTCGGAATTCTCACTATAATCCTATCTTTGTATCTTCTCTTATCTGTTCCTACTATTTGTCTTTACCAAATCTCTCTTTCAGTTTCTTGAAGAGTATTCACTGATTCCATGTCCTCAACCTATTCAACCAAGTGAATGAGTAGCAGGTAAGAGCGAAGTGTATGGCTAGAGGTTATATTTTGTTTTCAGATTTACAAATGGAGTGTAATCTGCTACTGTTTGATGGAGGATCACATCAAGGACGGAAGATATTGCGGGCCAGTTCTATAGTCTGTTGGAAAAGAAGCAAGAGCCTAGACTAAAGCGATTCCTGGAGAAGCTCTGCAGCCTGGTCTAAGTTCGTTAGGGTCCGTCTCCTCGGCTCCCCGTTCCTCTAGCTGTTCACAGAGTTTTTGGATAAATCTAATTCAGGTTTCAGAAAAAAATGACGATGCCCTCCTGTCCATGATGATTATTCCCGAGGGGGAACACCTCTGAACCTTTACAAAGAGAGGAATCGAGAGTTCCCCTCCTTCTCTCAGGGGATCAATCAAATACCCTCAATACGTGTGGGAGAAGAAGGTGATCCACTTCCCCCCGACAAACTTGGCCCTCTGTGGACTCCGAGTTCATCAATGTGGCCAGAGTCCTCCTCCAATCCATTGTTCCATGTTGTACAATCGTTAATGAACTATTTGTTCTCTTTCTTACAATCAACACTCAACAAACCTCTAAAGAATCCCGGACAACATGATCTATTGATGGCATGATAAACTCTTCTAGATACACAAAAAGATGAACATCACATGAAACCAAACTACCACTGCTTCAAACTCTTGGCGCGCGGTACACTAAACATCCTCACTTTTTCCTCGATGATCAAATAAGATGCGAGCAAAAGAGCAAGATTTCATGAAAGTTAAGCATAGCAAGGACTTAGTAATCTGTCTTGTCAGTACATTAAAGTTATCAAAGTTTAATAACTTTAGAATGTAGTAAGTACAGCTCTCGGTTGCTTATGCTCTATACATCAAGATCATGATCGCTACTCTTAACAATCGAGAAGCATAAACACTCATCTATAGCAAATTACTAGACGATATAAGCTGAAAAATAGCACAGCATTACACATACATACACACGATCCTATCATAACCTTCTCTCACAATGACCACTCGCCTACTGACTGACTTACTCAGACTTTCCCGCCCTATCTACCATATAGACTACAAAATCTAGAGACCATTCTGGTACTTTTGGTTGCAAATGAAATTGGAACAAACAGGTTAAACTACAGACTCCACCCGGGGACATCACCACTTGTGAGTCACAAGTATCATAATCACTTCGTGTTCGAGCATATTTATTGTGAAGCTGCTATCAAATCATATCTTCACTATTTGCATTATGAATCATTTGCAAACACCATTTTTAACAGTTAATACGGTAGTTGGAGTTTTGGATCTTTCTTTGGTGAGACCCACCGGCTCATTCGTTTTCAATGGTGTGAGTCGGCTAGTCCCAATAATCTTTTCTTGGAGATCGTTTAAACAAAGGAAAAGAATCCATAAGACATTCGTGAATTCTGGACAAGTCTACGTTTCATCATACGAGCAAGTATGTCTGCCTATAACGAAAGAGTTGGCAATAGCCGAGATTCCAGAAGCAGAGTCATTGCGTGATATTACACAGCCTGGCTCCAACCGCTGAGCAGAACATGTAAATGAAAAATCAGAAATTTCCAAACACAACCCTCCCTTGTATGGCTTCACCCATTGTACCAGTTATCTGAATAGGTTGAAGAGTGAGAAGAGATGAAGTGAAACAAAGAATTTATTTCATTTTATATGTAATCAACAATAAGAACATGAAACTCTCGCACACAACTTCCTATCTTAAAAAACAAGTTTATTCACTGGAGTATGGAATAAGCTTATTAGAAGATTAGAGCGTTACTAGTTAGAGAAAATGTTCGAAATATTCAGAAACTATAACTTAGCTTCCAAATCATCTACTACAACACGAGCAATATACTTTTTCGTGCCAATGAATTTTATTTTTTGACCGCTCTCGTACTTCGCATCCAAATAAGTCTTAAACTCTCTGCCCTCTTTAGATAATTTAAGTAAACGCTCTTTGAAATGATCAAAAGTGCACAAACAGTTGTCTTTCTCGTAGAACTTCTTTTGGGCAGTTTTCAATTTGTCATAATGGTCTACTGTCGCTTTCACTGACAATTTCCCTATGAGAGTATCGTATCCTTTATGTGGTTCCACTTTCTGTTGAGCTGTTGGCGTATTATCGGTTACTGTCTACAAATGTATTGAAAGGATTACATTTGAAAATATGTGAAACACTAACCGACGTGATAGCGTCAATTTGCTCAAGAATTGAATGAACCTGCAGTTTGAGGTTTTCCAACATATTGAGAGCTTGTTGATTTGGATCTTGAGGATTGCATGATCCGTTCACAATGGGTGAGTTGTTCATTGTTCCTAAAATAATATTTTACTCTACTCTCAAGAACAAAATGAAAAGAATACAATCATGACTTATTTGAATATCGTTTTCCATCTCATCTTCTTATATAAATGTAGTGCGAAGCAATAAAACAAAATTATTTTAATAGCTTAGTCACTTTCATCACGTTTATGGACCTTCACGTGTTTGATTAGAACTGTATCCTGTTCGATTTCTATTGAAAATCAAATAGACGGAGCAAGTTGCCAGCGACAACGAAATTGAACGAAGATGGATGGGGTTCACCCTTGAGTCCTGAAACTTTTTTGAAAGTATTGTAATTACCAATTTCACAATCTCAATATCTTTCATCATCTCTGATAACCCTCGTAGTACTCGTACTTGATAGGAAAATCTTGAACTAGCATCCCATTCTTAGCATCTGCTAAAATGACATTATACAACTGTAACAATGCTGAGAATAATTCAATCAAAAGGACAGTATGCACTTTCTCGCTAACAAAACCTACTTTCGGTAGATGAGAGTGTCCAAACTTCCAATCAAACGAGATAGAGAGAGGACGATGGCTTTGATTTCATTCAAATAACCTTTACTGGGATGTACACATATCCGGGAATGAACTTTTCTGTTTTTATCGTACGTTGTAGCATAATGAGAATGGAAACAGGAGAAAAGCGGAAGAAATGGTTTATCTGGAAAAGCTCTGATCTCTAATATCATCTCTTCTGACCGATAGATGGTTATGACCACAACGTGAGCATCCGCGTTGGTCATCAACACATCGTAAGGACTAAATATGTGATAAGTTGACACGCTGATGACGGAGTAATGAGAAACTACTGGAAAAGAAGATTTCACTTGTGCTACTGCCGTTTTCAATGGGAATACGTACAAATATTTCATACGCTGAAGCAAGTACTTGATGCATGTTTTCGTGATGCGGTGACGACGGACCAAGAGGCACGTTGGCAGGCAGCTGGACGACATTCTCTAGTGCAAATCTGAAAAGAAGTTGACTTTCCAGACATTCAAAGATGTATTACAAAGTTCGGATGAACACATGGGTTCCAAAAGTCTCCAATCGGGCATGTTGTGACATCTGAAATCGTTGGATAGATTAGGTGGATAGATTGATAGGTTGCTACAGCGACCCCAAAACTTTCTAACGTAACATGATGAGGCTATGCTTACAATGAACAGAGCTTATCCAATTGATCCTTCAGCAGACTGATTTGAAGAAGCTATATACCTTCAAATCAGCTTGCCAACAGATCTTGCGGTTGCATCGAACGTTCAACATGGA